TGTCCAATTGAGCCTGTTTTGGAATCTCAGCCCTCTGCAGAATTGTTATCTGAAACTGCTCAAGAGTTTGCGGTAGCGAATGATGATCTACAGAAGCTCATGGACTGTGAAGATGGACGAGCAACAGTCAGAGGCCACAGTCCAGTTAAATCTGTGCTGGAATTGCAGTGCTCTACAGAATCATTAATTGGTGCACATACTGATTTGCCTGAAGATGCTGTAGGAGTGGATACTGACCTTCACAAAAATATGGGTGCATTCCCTCATGGAAATGTCAGTGCCGTTGGAGAGGAGTTAAAAATGATTGTAAAGGAAGGACACAGTGTAGAAATGAATGAAGGAGTAGAAATTGTGGATAATAACGTTATTACTGAACACACAGATAAGCCAGTTGAGTGGGATTCAGTTGTACCAAGCACTGAAACTACACCATCTGTAAACAAGTTGGAAGACTTTATGTCAAAACAAGAAGAAAATGTACAGCGGCCAGTGGATGAAAAATTACAGATATCCTCTGAATTAAATGCTTCTGTAAATTATGTAGAAGCAAAAGAAGACCTTAACTTGCAGTCAAATAAAGGAAACGCACATAATAATGCTAGCATTCTTATAAATGAGAACATTTCAGATACTTTAGAATTAATTGAAGACACTGGGAATATTGAGGCAATTAAGTTTGAGGTGGCTGTTTTGCCAAAGCCTGAAACTGTGGCACAAGTGGACAGACTTGAAGTAGCAAGACCTGTCTCTTCAAAAACAATTGCCAGCAATATCAGTGAATCTGAAAAAGGCAATGGCTCTTCTCATCACATGGCATGTAAGAAGCAGAATAATATAACTGAGCAGGATAATTCAACCGAGCAGCATCTGGGCCCCAATAAGGAAGAAATGCAGGACCGTTTTAAACACAAAGACCACAAGGAAATTATTCCTGAAAAGCAGGTTGATGCTATGGAATTCAAGAACCAGACTTCAAAACATGAGAAGTCAGCACTGAATCCTCAGCATAAACTTGCACAAGACCCAAAACCTGAGCAGAGTGAAAACAGTTTTCACTCAAATAGGAAAAAAGCTAAGTTGGATATTCAGTCCTCTGAAGCACTTAAACAATCCAAGTCGCACAGTTTGACATTAGCCAGTAAACGGAAAGCGGTTGACCAAGATGAGCATCATCACAGGACTGCTAAGTGCTTGAAAACACAGGTTACACAAGTTGCTAAATTGAAAATGGACCAAGAGCAAGAGCAAAAGCCAATAGCCAAAATGCAGACACCAAATAAGATAGTATCGATGTCTCTGGCAGGGCATAAGTCAAAGAAAACAATTCCAGCATCTAAGCATAATTCTCATTCAACTTTGAAACTGAATGAGTTACCACCAAAGCTGGTGACTCGCTCTGGCCACAAACCTATCCCTTCAACAGCTAGAATAGTTTCCCAACAGTTAGACAGTATAAGGGAAAAAGACAAGGGAAAGATTATGGAGCATTCTAATGAAGATGATAAAGAAAAATTGAAAGTTAAGAAAAATGAGAAGAGTATTCTTCCACGGCAGAGGAGAAGTAGCAAAAGTTTTTCATTGGATGAACCACCATTGTTTATCCCAGATAATTTACCTGTGGTAAAAAAGGATGAAACTGACGCGGACCATTCCACCCCTGTTCCTACTTCAGATTTGTGGGACCCCAAAAAACTATGTGGATTTTGTAGGAAACCACACCACAGTAGGTGAGCTTCTATATAACCAAATCCCTGTACAAGTTTTCTGAGAGATCATTTTCTTGATTCTTAATACAAGCAGTAAAGGGAAAGAAATTATATTGGCATTTAAGATACTTTGTCAAGTTTGTTGACAATTGATGTGACAACTTTTTGAAGCTTTATTTTGTGAGCTTTAAACATACTACGGTAGAATGCAATGGTAACTTTACATCACTGAGAGCAGAGAGCATAATAAGCCTGTAGTAAATAGGAACAGGTGTAGGCTGTTTGGCCCTTGGGCCTGTTCCGCCACTCAGTCGGATCATGGCTGATCCAGCGTTGCTCACGTCCAATTTCCTGCATTTCCTCTGTAACCCTTGATTCCAATACTGATGGAGAAATGATCTATCTTGGCCTTAAATATACACAAGGACTTTACCTGACAGTTCTCTGGGGCAAGGAGTTTCAAAGAATCTCAACCCGCTGAGAAAAGAAAGTCTTCCTCATCTCAGTCTTTATTTGGTACCCCTTTGTTGCAAGACTATGCCCTCTGATCCTAAGCTTTCCCTTGTAAGGAAACATCCTCTCAGCATTTAACCTGTAATGCCCCTTAAGAAGCCTCTATGTTTTTGGGTGGCATTGTGGTTCAGTAGTTGGCACTGCTGCCTCACAGCATTAAGGATCTAGGTTCAATTCTAGCCTGGGCAACTGTCTGTGGCGTTTGCGCATTCTCTCCATGTCTGCGTGGGTTTCTTCCGGGTGCTCCAGTTTCTTCCCATGGTCCAAAAATGTGCAGGTCAGGTGGATTGACCATGCTAAATGGCCCTTAGTGTCTGGGGATATGCAGATTAGATGGATTAGGCATGGGACATGCAGGGTTACAGAGATAGGATACGGGTGTGGGTCTGGATGGCATGCTCTTCAGTATGGACTTAATGGGCTGAATGGTCTGCTTCCACACTGTAGGGCTTCTATGATTCTATGATTTTGATGAAATTGCCTTTTATTCTTTAAAACTCCAGTGATTAGAGTACCAACCCTTTAGCCTTTGCTCATGAGACAGTCCTTCCATTTTGGGGATCATGGGAGTGAATCTTCTCTGAACTACTTGCAATGAAATTATATCTTTCCTTAAATAAGGGGACCAGACTGCTCTCAGTTCTCTAGATGTGGTCCCCAGCACCTTGTACAGTTAGAGTATGACTTCCCTACTTTTATACTCCAATGTACTTGTCTAAGGGCCAACATTCCATTAGTCTTCCTGATTACTTGCTGCACTGTGCGCTAGCTTAGTGTTTTGTGCACAAACATCATGAAGTCCATTTGTGTTGCAGGTTTTCTCCACTTAAATAATATTCTGTTCTCTTGTTCTCCCTTCCAAAATGAACAACTGTTTTCCTTACTTGCTGACTTTCCCCCCACACTTACTTAACCTAAACCTATCAATACCTCTCTACAAACTATATCTATCTTGCAATTTGTCCTTACACCTTATTGTTTTCATAGATCATAGATCACAGTGTGGAAACAGGCCCTTCGGCCCAACAAGTCCACAGCGATCGTCCGAGCATTCCACCCAGACCCATTCCCCTATAACCCACCTAACCCATCCCTGAACACCTATGGGCTATTTAGCATGGCCAATCCACCTAGCCTGCATGTCTTTGGACTGTTGGAGGAAATATGAGCACCGGAGGAAACCCACGCAGACATGGGGAGAATGCACAAATTCCCCACAGACAGTCGCCGGAGGGTGGAATTGAACCTGGGTTCCTGGCACTGTGAGGCAGCAGTGTTAATCGCTGAGCTGCTGTGTTTTCTTTGTGCATTCATGGGATGAGGGTGTTGCTGGCTAGGCTAGCGTTTATAACCCTTTCCATTTTTCTGAAGAAGGGTCCAGACCCGAAGATCACTATACCTGAACAGCAGAAAATTTGCGTTATCCAAATAGCATCTGTTATTCACCAATCATATTACAGACAATTTGCATTAACAAAACATGCATTATAGCAGAACTACCTGTAGTTAAAACCATACTGTTGTGCATTCTGATTTATTGTTACTTCCCCCAAAAGTTCTTGTGTTAGTCTTAAATTATTTGCTATTATACAACAATCCTCTGGAGAATCCTCTTCAGTTCCAGCTATTCTGAGGTAAATTCCTTTCAGTTACCATCACTTGACTGTGCATATCACATTTCCTTGTTTTGACTACTTTTTAACACATCCATGCTAATCTGCTTGTTGCTTTGTCACTAGTATCTGTTGAAGGCCATTGTAGATTTTTCCACTAGTTTCAAGCAAGGCAGTCTGCTACCTTTTGTGCCCTTGTAAACAAAATTCAAACTGATTAAGCTTCATCTGCATTCCACACTGTACCTAGCTTCAACAATCGTATACTCTGCTTAGAGTTGAGGTTTATCTAACACTCTTTTTCAGCTATCTTTGTAAACTGTAAACCACAGAAAGCCCAAGCTGCAATAAAGTCTTTTTAAAACAAAATCTAAACTTATTGAAACTGGAGAAGCATCTTTAGCTTCACCTGTCTCCATGATGATATGGCATGCTCTTGGCTGGTTTTGAACTTGGAATAATTATCCTTAGTTTACAGTTTCTTCTTTGATCTGGAGTTCAGTATATGTTTTTAAACTAGTTCGGTATTTAATTTTCAAAACACAAACATCTCCCTCAGAATGCCCTTATTGCAGGGATTGTGGAAGCCTAACAGGAAATAGATAATCATGACAGGTGTATCCTATGTGCAGTATACATCAAAGTAATTCTTAGACTTATTGGAATACAAAAATTATTGAAGTCATATAATACTGTATTCCTGCCTACATCATCAATTTTGTTTTTTAAATGTCAAGTTTGAACTACTTTCTGCCTTCTGTTTCTTCAGGTCTGGGGAGTGATCAAATAGAAAATTTGTTGAGGTTTGACTGCAGGTTTTAAAAAAAGCAGCTGAGCAGTTGGTCTGCTGTGCTTACTCCTTTTGCAGTGACCTTTCACAGCCTCTTGACTTCCTCATGCCCCTACAGTCAACCAGAAATCTAATATTTCACCATATTGCCAGACATGAAAGACAATTATTTCCATTGCTAGATAAGTTGAACAGAAAGAGCTGTAATTGACAAATAAACTAAAGATAGCTAAAGTAACAGACTTAAAAAAAAACTGCAAATTATCAGAATGTGGAATGTTTTTGTTGCAAGTAATCATACTAAAAGAGAAAATGCTAGAAATTGAACACGTTGATCAACTTCTCCCTGGTGTTGTACAGATGCCAGTGTTTCAGGCATAGTTTCAACAGAACTAGAAATATGCAGGTGAACATTTTAATAGAAATGACTGCTACTTTTATGGTTGGCTGTTACATGCTAGATTCTCATGTTTGCAGAATTTGAATATAGAATGTTCAGCAAACCCCAAATGATGTATTTCCATTCCTTATTTTAAATTACTTGCAACATCCAAACCCACCCCAGCATAGCATCCAAGTTACTGTGTAATTTATTGGATATGCTTAAGATTATTAAAGGTTTGGACAGGATCAATAAACACATTCTATTTCCGCTAATTGGCAGATCTGGAATTCAGTGTTATGTCTGCAAAATAAATGCAAGAAATACAAGAGTGAGACAAAAATTTATTTTTTACACAGAGCTGAGGGGCTGAGAGATTTCTATCTGGGGTTAGCGGTTGAGGCAGAAGCTGTGTCATCATTTTGAGTCAGTTGAATTGGTGCAGGAAGAGAAAGGTATGTGGGTCAAGTTGGATAAAAATGTTTGGGACCACAGCATTGAAACTCTGCTTTTACAGAGAATAAACACGACCTGAGACTGCTTGGGTTGAATGACTGGCTAAATTTGTATTGTAACATGTGTATTTTCTATGTACATCTCTTTCAAGTGAACAATAAATAAGGAACTTGTCATTTTGAGAAGCCAACTTGGCTTATTAGTAGTACTCTTGATTCCGACGCAGAAGGTTGTGGGTTCAGGGCTTAGCTCTGCTAACATAAAGCACCACTAGGTTACTATGTACCAGTTGGAGGTGCTATGTTATGAAAGAGATGGTAGAACAAGTTTTGGTCTCCTGAGGTAAAAGATTCAATGTTCTATCTTAAACGAGCATGGAGGTTCTGACTGCACTCCTTGTTAATATTTACCCTTCATTCAACATCACAAACAGATGATTTATATATTGAATTCTGTTGGGACCTTGCTGTGTGTTTTTTAACTGTAACTGTGGCAACATTTCAGAAGTGCTTCAGAGTCTGTTTGAGATTTCAGGGCTGCATGAGATTTTGAAAGGTACTATATGAATGCAAGTTTTTTTACTTCAAAGTGCAGTAAACAACTTTGACCAGGGAATGTAGGTTAGTGAAAAATAACATCAGAAAAAGTGCTTCTGTTAGCATGTACTAGTTAAAAATCCAAGCAGTGAAATGTTTATAATATTTTTGAGAAGTATTTTTAAACAATTTTTCATCCTTCATTCAATTGACCTAGATTTTGTTTGCATTCAGATTTATGGTAGGTTGCGGAAGGTGTGATGATTGGTTTCATGGCGAGTGTGTTGGATTGACACTTGTCCAAGCACAGCAACTGGAGAAAGAGGATAAAGAATTTATTTGTTTCAAATGTTGTGCTGTGGAAGAGAAAAATGCTCCATCAGTTAATCATAGTTACACAGTAAAACATCAGTGTGTGCAAAACGACATGGAGAAAGCCAAGCTTGAACTAACCCATGAGCACACGATCCATTTAAAAAATGAAAAGATGAGTAATTCAGATGAACTAAGTACTACTGCAACTGATATTACTGGTGTAAAATCAAAAAGAGAAATGATAGAAAAGACTGAGCAATTGCTGAATAAGAAGCACAAGGACAAAATGTTAAAAAAGGTAAGATGTGTTTTCTGTTTGTGTATCATGTATTCAAATCCATTTTTAGCTCATCAGTTGCAAATTTTAATGTTTTTTATATTAAAAATCATACCTTAGGCTCCAACTTCAAAATTTATTAGTCAGTGACTGCTTCAAAAATTGTTCTAAATTTGATTTTAAAAATAACTCTGTGAGCTACGCTCTCTTAAAGACTTGAATTTCTTGGTCTCGCAATCTGAAATTGGATTTTCTATTCAGGTGAAAAGTACAGAGAAGAATTCTTACCTTTTCATAACAAGTGGAAATTACAGGTTGTGGATATATCTTGTGACTTAGTTATAGCTCGTGTTTCCTACAAGTTTTTTGAATTAATTTGATTTTATGAAATCTTCATTGCACATTAAATGTTATCTTGTTTATTAGCTTACCACATTGTACTTTGACTGTACGTGTCACCTTATTTTGAAGTCAGCACTGGAATGTTGCAGATATTGTCCGCAGCAACAGTCCACTTTTATGTGAACTATGTTGTGATGAACTTCATTATTTCACTAGACACTTTGCAGCCACTTAATGGTTAGGATCAAGGATTACAGACATAGTATTGCTTATGTATCGCAGCCATAATAATGGCAGTGGTTTCCATGCTGCTTTTACATAACTATGCAAAGCTCTTACAAATGAAACTTGCACATTTTCTACTTTTGCAAAATGTTTCAGTTGGTCATGAACCATCAATTTTCTACATTGAGTGGCCAGAAAGCAGCTGGAGTATGATCATTAGTGCCATCAGAACAGTTGTTAACACTAAATCTGAAATTTGATCTTTATGGCTGGCTTTGGATTCATGTGCAATTGAACTCAGAGGAGCTGGACAAGCTATTTGCCTAGTATACTAATAGCTAGAGTGAATTTGATCTACAGGCCTTGACTTTAACTACATTTCTCATTATGATGGCTAATTTATACAGATCTGATAGATGTAGTATCTTGAACTGTAGAAACAAATAACAGTTGCCCTTAAACTGAGAGAGAAGTGGTATTCCATTTAGAGGTGATTTAATCTTCAAAATTTATCTAATCCTGAGTTGGTCTGTGACTAGCTTCCAGAAAAAAAAAGCGATTTGCAATTCGTTTGTAGGTTCTGATAAACTACCCAGTTATAAATTAGATTGTTCAGATGGATAGTGTGCTCACTTTGCAGAAGGATTTGGGGAGGAACATTTGCGGAAAAAGGAGAAGCCTTAGTGAATTTGTGTTTATTGAGCAAATGCTGTTCTTTGGTAGTCAGTTACTGTTCAGCCTAAGCATAAGGTGGTTATGTTAAGCCTTTGAATGTGAGCACTACATGTAAGCTACTCCGTGCCCTCACTGTTAAGAGCTATAATGCTTGCTGCCAGCCAGAAGCATTTTTGGAAAGGGAGAATGGAGGCCAGTACTTCGGTGTTGAGGTATTACAGAAATCTCACGTTAGCATTCAGATTGTGTCTGTAGCCTGCTCAACCTTATTCCATTTTGTTTTTAAAGCATGAGGAAGTTTAGCAAATATACTCTAGGATTTAGTATAAAAAGCAGTTATGTAATTCAAGTTACACTCCAGAGCTGAGCACTGGATGGGTCATGTCGCAGACTTCCTATATCAAGGCCTTGTGTGCCTTGTAAGATAGTGTGTAAAATATAGCTCTGTCCAAAGAAGAAAAGTTTTTCATTTGTGTCTTGGCCATTATCTACATTTTGTTGAATCTTGTATTAATTAGCTACTTCTTTTGCTTACAAATCACTATTACATTTTAGCATTGGCTGTAAAATTGCACTTTGGAGCATCCTGAAAACATGAAAGGCTTTTATAAGCTTTGAACAGCATCAGGAATTGAAATCAATATTAGACCTGTGTTTGGAAGTAGATCTGTGTCAGGCTTCTTGAATGCTGGCACAGTACTCATCTTGGCAAGTGGAGAGTATTGCATCATAGTCCTAACTTGTGCTTTACAGATGGTGGACAGGTTTGGCGAGTTACAACACAATGCCCAACCTCTATACCTGAATACCATTGTCCTTCATGTACGTCTCCACTTCTGTTTTGATAGAGGGAACATTATTTGAGCAACTGAAGATGGATAGGGCTGAAATAATTGACCTTCAGCAGCCTCAAAACCATCTTCCTTTATTTTTGATATAATTCCAGCCAGTGGGATTTGGGTTCATTAATGCAGCCCTAGGTCAAATGATGCCAGCTAATTAATGACAGTCACCTCTGGAATTCAGTTCTTTACTCCCCGGTTTGTCCAAGGCTGCTCTTGGGTTAAATCACCATGAATCATCTCTCGCTAATGAGAAAACACTTCTTTGGTCTGGTAAGACTATCTTGGCTTGACTTTACTTGAATGAGGCCTGGAGGTAGGTAGTCCTTGCAACACAAATTGAGCATCAACAGACCATTATTGGTGAGTATGACCCTTAACAGTGCAGTGGATTCCATCACTTTGACAGTGAACCACTGCTGGCAGAAGTTGGTCAGGTTACTTTATCCTTCACTTCATAGAGAATATATAGCCAATTTATTACCGCCAATTTATTACACTGTCGAGTAACGATGGTGGAACAGCTTGGAGAGAGGCAAGGTTGGTTCTGGAGCTCGAGTTCAATGCTATAATCTGATGTTTATCTGCTTTATGTACATTAACAAAATATGAGAAAATTTGAATGAAAGGGTCACGAACATATTAAAGCAATATTCTGCATTAAAGATCAAATTGGATTGATGAGGCTTAATTATTTTAATTTTTTATTTTGCTTAGCCACTTTACTTCCTCTAATGGACCTGACCAGACCCCTCAAAATATTTTGTAGTAGCCTAGACCTTAACTGTTCCTTGTTTTATACGCAAATGTAACATGCTGCATTCCAGATGCAATTTGATTAGTCACGCTGCTTGATGTTTAGCAAAACATCATTTATTCAACACTATACAGTTAAAATACAACAAAAGAAAGAAGAACTTAGATTAGCAACTCTATTGGAAAACTTAATAGTAGATATAGTAACAATTACTAATTAACTGTTCCAATGTAGTAACATCCCATAAACACACTTCTTGGCAAAATTCAGAAAATAGATTTGCCTTGCAGGTAACTCCAGGAATCCACAAGGAAAAACGTCAAGACAAAATTGAGAGTGTAACAGCCAGGCAACATTTACTGCACTTCCAACCTTGTTGACATTCCAACCACAACTGCTTAAAGTTAAACTAAAAACTAAAAGAAAGTCCTGGTCTGAAAGCTGGCCATACCCAGCCAGGCTGCTTCTATTGTTCCAACTTGGGGTCAAAACCCAAGGCCTCATAAGCTGTTTATTGGCTTTCCAAGTAGACAACTTTCTACCTCTGTCTCAAAACCTCGCTTTAAAAAGAAACTAGGACAAAATAATCTCTTAAAACAACAGTATCGTCCCAGTCTGTCACCATTATTTCATTGAGGTGTTTCTGAGCTTGCCTTCAGATATTCCATGTCATGTAAAGGAAAGACTTTTGGTTGAGACTTTCAGTTGAGTTGAAGCAAAAACTGCTACTGAAGCACAACTTTACTGGTGTTTGCCATGATCCTCTTTATAATTTTTAATGTTTAATGCCTGAATCTCAAGGATGTTTCATGCTTGTCTGGTTGCAAAATGACCTTTTTGCTGCTAGAACTTATCTGATATTATCACTAGTTCATTATTTGAGCATTCTTGCAAATTCTTTTCAAATCTGGAACTATTTCAAGTCTCAGAATCTTCTGCTATTCTTCACTGAACTTTGAAAAAAGAGTAGGTTATTTAGCTTCTCAGGCTGTTCACCAACCAATGAGATCACAGCTAATCTGCACCTTCATTATTGGCCTTAGCCCTGTGTTCCTTAACACCTTTTGGGTAACACAAGCCTATCATTTTCAGTTTTGAAATTGCCAATTGATCTAAATAACTGCCCTTTTTCAGGGGTGAGTTCCAAACTTCTACCAACCAACTATCCATGCACAGAAGCATTTTCTAATTTCACTCTTGAAAGGCCTGGCACTGATTTTTAGATATGCCCCTGGTTCCATATGGTTTATGTACTATACAGAATTCTGGGAAACAGTCCTATTTTGTGTAATGTCTTGTAATTTCACAAGCGTTCAAGTATAATTTCTTGAAACCAGTGCACCCTTCCTAGGGTGTGATGCCCTGAACTGTTCACAATATTCTAGGTATGATCTAACCAAGGTTCTGTGTAGAACAACATGATTTCAACCTGCTTGTATTCTCTATTTTATCGTCTTGAAGTAAAAGGCAGCACTTCATTAAGTCTTTGATTATTTTGTCATCGATGACATTTTAATCTATGTATCTGAACCCATACTTCACTTCAACCTACATCGTTTGTTTGTAAATTTCCACTGGGTGGCTTTTTCCCCTAGTCAATATCTTTCGAAATGTTATTGCATACCTCTGAAGGAGGTGGGACTTGGACCCAGGCTTCCTGGTCCAGGGGTAAGGACATTACCATTACGCCATAAGAGGGTCCACTGTATGGTACCCTATTCTGTCCTTTCTAGGTGTCAGAGTGCACATTATCCTTACTATTAGCTTCCACATCTGTGCAGTTCTGGTAACACTTACTCTGTTTACAATACCACTTATTTTTATGTCTCCAGTAAATGTGGATATGCAGTTTTCGACACTGTCATCAAAGTTAATGAACATGATGTGGAATTGAGAATAAAATTACTGCCCATTGTTCCTATCCTACAACACAGCCAATTTTCTAATCGGGTCAATAATTTAACTCTCAATTCCATGAGCCTCAGCTTCAGCTAATCTTCTGTTATGAGGAAGATATGTCAAGTACCTTCTGAAGGTCCATATAGATAACCTGTTGAAACACTACCTGCCTGTTCGTTTTTGAAGAGTTGATAAAACTTTGTCATGTTCGTCAGCCACAAATCTATGTTGCCTCTGCACAGAAGGTGTTTACACAGCATATTCATCGCCCCACTTCACTG